TTCTGAGGCAAAACCAAGAAATAGAGAAGAACTGTGGAATGTAGTCCAATCATCCTGGGCTGGAATACCTGATCACAGGGGCCAGATTGGTTGACTCCATGCAACACAGATGTACAGCAGTTCTCAGAAACAGTGCTTATACAACAAAATATTCATTAAGTGATTCAAAGGAAAGCAAAATCTTCAAACATTTTTCAGTTTATATAGTGAATGTTTGAGTTTGTAAAGAAGAATACAAAAACTGCTATTTTTTTGAACTGTCTAATATTCACTTTTCTTCAATTTTTTTAGAGGAACAACACACATTTGATATATTTTTCTTCATGTTTTGATTTGGAATAGAATGTGTAGTGTTCCCAATGCATTTGTGTGTATGGAAAAAAAAGCTATTAGAAGGATTTTGAGCTTTATTTACTTTTTTCAACACACTGCTATTATTTTGAACACAACTGTATATATGTATATGGAGGCTAAAATTGTCATCCTAGATAGAATGGTATTAATTAAGGTATATAAGGGTAGTTAATTACCTTCCCACAGTGGAGTTAAATATGAGGTGATCCCTTGCATCAAGAAGAGTAATAATGATAATCATCAGCTAGCCTACAATCCTTTTCAAGAAGGAGGTTTATATCCAAATAAAAGATACCAAACTTTTGCAGTGTTGTAAAACAATACATCTATCTAGAAGGGATATATTAGTATTGTATTAGTATGCAGGACGTGTCTAAGGGACCATCTCAGATTTCATGCATGCCACACAGCAAAACCTACCGATTAGGGTTGTATGAACAAGCCTTATTCACAATGGTATAGTAATAAAGACATCCAAAGCTAGACCGTAGAGGATACACACAAAGTATAACCAAGTCTCTTTTGTTGTTAGTGGTAGAACACCTCATAACAGAAAATTGGCAAATGGGCCTAAAAAAGAGAGGGGAGAAAAAGGAAAACAAGCCAAATAATGTATATATAGTAGTATAGTACTAAGCACTACCTTGTCAGACAGTTACATAAGTATCCATGATTGGTGGGTGTCTTACCGAGAGTTTGGTGCAACGATACCTTTTAGAAGGTATCTCTGTTAACATAGAACACATTGGACATGGCTCACCAATTGGTGAATCCCATTTCAAAAGGGGAATGCTGTGGCACAGTTTCAGGTAAGGCCCAATAACTTTTAGGAGTTTTCCAGTCCACTTAGAGAAAGTCTTCGAACAGAAGGTTTAGCAGAATGGTGTTTTTTTCTTTTGCAGCTATAAGGGCTCGTTCACACTAGGCTGTTTTGCCAACGCTTGCCAAACGCCCCTATAGCGTTTGGCAAGCGTTGGTCCGGTGTTTTGCGGAGCGTTTTTAACGCTCGGCAAACGCTCCGCAAACGCCGCAATGCGCGGTTTAGCGGCGGTTGCTAGGCGTTTGCCGAGCGTTAATAACGCCCCACAAACGCCTATAATGCATTTGAGTGGTGTTACCGCTCCGCAAACGCCCCGCAACCGCGTCGCAACCGCACCGCAAACGCCGGCCGGGCGTTTGCGGAGCGGCACCATAGACGAGAATAGGAGGCTTCAAAGCCTCCTGACTCGACCAGAGGCGTCCGTTTTGCCGTGACGCAACGCGACGCGACGCAAACGCTCCTGTTAGAACAGCACCATGTGCTGTAATGTGCAGAGTTGGCAGAGGCGTTTGGGAAGCGGTAAAAACGCTTCCCAAACGCCTCTCTGCCGCCTGCACACAAGGCTAGTGTGAACGTAGCCTAAGACCTCTATAAGACCCAAGTTCCATAACAGCAGAACAATCCTCCAAACATAGGGTGATAAAGTAGTGTGGAAAGCAACACAATGCAGAGCCTAGTGCCCTAAGCTCACATTCCTGGCTAGCCTCACCACATGCAGAGGTCTACTTGCCACATGAGTCTTCATAGGCTGGGCCAAACCAGAGGATGTGCCTTGGCTGTGGACCTGAAGAGTGCTCTACAGCTAACTAACACGGTACACAAAGGTCTGGAATGCAAACAATGCATAGCCCAGTGCCCGAAGGTCACATTCTAGACTAACCCTGCAATCTTCCAGTTAGGCGCAGTCTGAGTAAGACCTACAAAGCTGTTGTTGAGGATATGTCGATCCAGATAGCTGCTGTGTAGAGATTAGCTCAAACAGCACTTTTGAAGTGGATTCACCAAACAAAAAATATCTAATTTGTACTGAGTAAACTGCAATGAACACAGTTAAAGTGGTTGTAAAGGCTGAAGTTTTTTTACCTTATTGCGTTCTATGTATGAAGGTAAAAAAACCTTCTGTGTGCAGCAGCTCCCCCAGCTCCCTCAATACTTACTTGAGCCCCATCACGATCCAGCGATGTGAATGACAGCCTCGGCTGTGATGGGTCTCTGCCTCCTCATTGGCTGAGACAGCAAGCGGGAGCTGCTGCTGTCAATCACAGCCAGTCAGCCAATGAGGAGAAAGAGGGGGCGGGGACAAGCCGTGGCTCCATATGTGAATGGACACATGGAGCAGCGGGTGCCCCCATAGCAAGCAGCTTGCTATGGGGGCACCTGGCAGGAGGGAGGTGACCCAAGAAGAGGAGGATCCAGGCTGCTCTGTGCAAAACCACTGCACACAGTTTAGACATGTTTTTTATTAAAAAAAAAAAATGGAGCCTTTAGAATCGCATTAACCCTCTACTGACCCGTGGCTAACTTGCTGTACTGTTAAAATAAACACTTCTGACATTACCACAGTTAGAGAACACCACTTCCCAGGTGTGCAACATTTAGGAAGCAGTAGTGCAGAGCCTGTACCAGCGTCCACCAACCACGAATACCTGTCACCTCACTCCCAGTGACAGGTCCACAGTTACCAATGAATACAGGAAATGCACCTCACTCCGTAACTACGTGCTTGCTTTTCTCTGATGGGGCCCTTGTACAGCTCTCAACCATGACTTCCAAGGCTTGGTCCCTAGGTATTCTATGCCACAGGTGTGATTCCAAAATGTGGGGAACACTATGCCAAGTCACCCAATCCCTGACTGGTTGGCTGCATTAATAGAAATTACACATGTATGGTTGTCCCTAGCAACAGCAATATAATCTGCACTAAACAGAAAACTACAAGCTGGACTAAAAGGTACTGTATCTACTCTAACCTATGGTCCCCATGTTACAAGCTCTGTTCTCTGGATACGCCATGCAGTGCACCACTTAAGAGAGGACCTTCAGTTAATGGTAACTTTGCTGAAGAGATGAAAACATACAGAAACAGCTCTTGTAAAGCAACTTCCCGTATAAACTCATGTGCAAATGTGCTCTAGTGCCCATAGGTTAATCATACCTGAATAGCAGCATAGAGTTCTTAGAGTCCATGATTGGCAATAATCCTTAAAGGCAATAAATTCATACTTGGTAGCTATAAGTTCATAAGGGCCTGCAGGCTTCAGACCCCACTGGGGAACCCAAAGGGGGTGACTGCTCTGGCAGTGTAACAGCTACATTTTGATAGTCTTTCCTCAGACAGCTCTCTAGGGCAGGGTTTCTCAAGCAGGGTTCCTCCAGAAGTTTCAAGGGGTTCCTTGAGAAATGAGAAATTTCTGACTCTCAGATACATTTCTACTGATACCAATGATATTTTTAGCTATCTGTAAGGGGATAATTCTTCCCAATGACACCAGTGTTAGGAGCATTCTTCCCACTGACCATCACACTAATGTATCATGAGTTTTAGACATAGTCATTTTTAGCAAGGGTTCCATGAGACCAGAAAGTTATTTCAGGGGTTCCTCTGTGTTGAAAACGTTGAGAAAGGCTGCTCTAGGGAATTTCTGTGCGCTCTTATGTGGATTTGTAGAAAATTGGCAGAAAAATGTAACCAATTAATTCCTCAGATCCACCACACATCAACATTGTAACTATTTACCAGGAAAGGCAGCTGACTTAACCCAGATCACTGAAGAGCATGAGTCAGCTCAGGAAAAACATTAACCCTTCTGTAGGCACCTGCCTACAAGTGTTCAAACCACCTGTAGGTAGTGGCCAAAAACCAAATTTTTTTCAGAATTCCTGAATTTCTACGTCCCTCAATGAACAAAAAATTAATTATTTTTCTACAGAAACTTCTGGTACCCTTGTGACTAATGGAGATGCTTTTGGTGTCTACAGCTGGAGCCTGAGAAGAATGACATCCAAGCACTTAGCCTGATGCTGGCTCTGCCTTAATTCTGATCTTTCCCTTTGGCAAAGACATTGTGATAAACGGCTTTGCATTACTCCTGGGAGCAGTCACTAGAGCACAGAGGATTGGTTGTTTCTAAACAAAAGTATTTTTTTTTTTTAACCTTTTACTGTAGCTGTTACATACAGTCAAATAGGGGTTTATTTAGAAATGAAAGTGGGTACTGCTTGACACAGGACGCTGCAATGTTTATAAGTCATTTACAACATGGAGGCCAAGGTTTGGAGTCTGCAGTGTCCTTCGAGTGTTCTGGAGGAAAGCTTGGTCACGTGACTTTGACAGGTCATGTGACGGGGCTCTCTTTCTCCTATTTTTTCTCCATTCATTCAATGAATGGGGTTTTGCTTGCTTCAGAGTTCCAAAGCTAGAGAAGTGGAAAGTAGATTTGTAAAGCACACCGCTGTGCTTTATATAACTATGTCAGTGTTCTTTGTTAAAGCAGCAGTAGGCCTTGACAAATGGACCCATAAATGTTCTAGTGAAATGAGTTTAGTTTTACCCTGTAGGTCTGTCTTAACACTTTCGTCCTTTATTTATTTACATGTAGACTTTCCCTAATGCTCAGTACTGCACAGTGATTGTACTACACTACAGCTCATACCGGTGAGATAAAACCAGGGGAAATACTGAACCAGGGGCGGACTGACAACTCATGGGGTCCCCGGGCAATAGGGGATCATGGGGCCCCTGTGTCCTTGCCCACGCTCAAAAAAGCCTATAAAAAAGGTACCAGGGGCATTTCATGGGGCCCCCTACTGACCCCGGGGCCCTCAGGCAGTGCCCGAGTGCTCGAATGGTCAGTCCGCCCCTGCACTGAACAACAAGCATGTGAAATTGTGAAAGTCTCGCTGTTTGTTGTAAACATTTTGAAAATCAATAAAAAGTAAATTATAAAAAAAAAAAATTGTTAAAGCCACATTACAATGATAATTTTCAGGTGAAATGAATGATAAGAGGAAGAAGGATAAGGCAGAAGAATTGTCAAAGCTGCTTGCTCTGCATTCTTTCTCATACCTGCCATCTCTCTAGTTAAGCTGTCCATACACTGAACAAAAAAAAAATCTAACAGGCTCTTACATCCATGCTAACAATGCAGATGGACAACTCTCCCTACCCACCAGGCTTTTGTGTTCTGACAGCCTCTGCCAGCAACTGTCAGAATACCTGAACGCTCACTGCATCTGACTGGATGCAGCCGCTAATCAGCCATCAATGTTCCAACCGACTCCTTCAGCTTTTCAATTGAAGGATGTTGGTTGGGGGCACATAGGGTCATTCACATGTTTCTTTAATGGCCAGTTTAGGAGTGTTATTTTGTTGTTTTTATTTTTTGGAGAACTCGGATAGGGATGAGGGAATTAGGTGGGATATCTGAAAACAAGAACTATGTGCAGATGAGGACTTCAGGTATTCTTTTGGATACGCTATGACAAAGTCGGTGCTTGAAGCAAACAGTAGACTTCAGCTTTAAGGCAGTAGTAGTAGTAACTAGAGCAGAGTCCTTTTAGGTAGATTAAGTATACAAAGCTCTTCAGAACACCAGGCAATGTCCCACAGCTGTCTCCCGGAGGGGGGTTAAGTAGCACACAGTCTCTAAAATCTTTTATGAGTGTCTGTATTCTCAAGGCCCAAGAGCAGCTGGATGACTTCCTCCATGATACCAGACCAGATCATCAGTAGATGGCCCCTCAGTCAGCTTCAGTAGAACCCAGGTCTCAGCATTCAGGCCCTCAGGTCGCCCACCTGAGGCTACATATCAGTAGTTGCCTAGTAGGACAATTTGCCCCCTCCCAGACTGGAACAATCCTATACAGGAAAGACCAAGAACTCAAAGTGCTCACTGAATATATACATTTACCCAGCACTCCATCAGAGTCAGTCTCTCTGGGATAGGCTGGGGCTGTATCAATATTCATACTGCATCTGCATAGCTCCACACCTATTATCCAGAAACTTCTCAAACTTTCTGGATGCAGAGGGAGCTATCAGGCTGGCAGCAGCTGAGAAAACTGAGCAGACCTAACTAGCAGAACACAGCAACACTGATTACAGTGCTGCTGTATGCTTTTACCTAACAACAATTACATCCATACATTTTTTAGCAAAGACATTTTGGCCTAATATGAAATTTGATTTTTTTAATTTTTTTTACTGAACATGTTTATTAGCAAAAAGTCAAAAATATAGTTTTTTTCTCAAAATTGTCAGACTTTTTTTATAGCGCAAAAAATAAAAAGTGCACAGGCGATCAAATGCCACCAAAAGAAAGTTCAATTTGTGGGAAAAAAAGGATGCAAATTTCATTTGGGTGCAGCATTGCATGACAGCGCAATTGTCAATTAATGTAATGTAGTGCCGTAACGCAAAAAATTGGCCTGGTCAGGAAGGGGGGTAAATCCTCAGGAGGGCAAGTGGTTAAAATGATTATGTGTGTAGTTCAGAAGCTATGTTGTACTTCGGTTTTCCATATGATCCATTCTTGGTGGAGAGCTGTTTCTGTGGTCCCTGATATAGAATACACTCTGGGGCCCCAACCACTAATAGTGGCACCACTGTGAGCTATGCATAATTCCATTCAGTGAAACAACACGGCTTCTGTTATTTGTGAAGCGTCTTGTTTCTCCTTTCTCGTTTTCATTTGATCTGTGTGAATAACAGAAAACAATCACAGCACAGTAATCTAAGTAACATGACATTTCCATAGTAACTCGGGCTAAAAATAGGGCAAAGGAGTTTACTGAGGATGTTTTAGGACTTGCTGCATTTGTGGTTTGATGACACATTCATAAAAACAACAAAAAAAAAAAAGCTTTTTTAATAAAATGTTTAAGCTTTGTGATTACCTTGCAACTTTTACAGAAGTTTCCAGAAGTATTTTTTGGTGATCAAAAATTATTAACGTAAAATGGCAGTTATGGTTAGTTTATGGGGAGTGGAGCGCTCACTCCCGAAGGTCTTCCCAGCTAGCACAGAGGCTGCCTACCACAGACACAGTACCATGCACACCGACAACACAAGCTCAGTCTAGGGGATGTCTTTTTAGGATTTATTGGTGAACAACTTGAACAGGAGAGAGGTTCAGGGATCCGGATATTCCAAACAATAGCAAACAAAAAATAACAGGAGGACCGCTTATCACTAATCGTTGGTTTGAATCCCAACCATGGCACCACCTGCCTGGAGTTTGCATGTTCTCCCTGAGAGTCCCCAGACAGCAGAGGTCACTCTCTGCACACAGAGAGTTTTTTACATTCAAGCATAGAATGCATGAAGATAAACAATTGTTGAGCCTTTATAACCACTTTAATGCAAAGTCTCTCCTACCTCTGTTGTGCTGGCCAATATGAGTGCCTTAATGGCCAATAATGGTTCTGTCATTAGACAGGAGGCAGCAGCTGGTAGGAGTTTAGGCTGACCATACACTATACAAGCTGATTGTATAATCTCCTTAGGTGTACCATCAATTACGTAGTGCAAGGGCCTGCTTGTCTGAATACCAATTAAATGGATTATTTAAGTTTGCTTCATATTACATCAATGAGATTGTGCAGAAATTGAGCAGTCAGATTGTATAGTGTATGGCCAGCTTAAAGTGGTTCTAAAGCCTCAAGGTTTTTTACCGTAATGTATTCTATGCATTAAGGTAAAAAACCTTCTGTGTCACAGACTTTCCCCCTCACCCCCTTATACTTACCTGAGCCCCATCGTGATCCAGCACTGTGCATGAGTGCTGCGGCTTTCCTGGCTTTTCAATCCTCACAGGGCAGATTGAAATCAGTGGGAGCCATTGGCTTCCACTCCTGTCAATCAACTCCAGTGACGAGGGCACATGGGGACGGGGACGAGTCCTGTTGCCTGTGTCAATGGACGCAGCAGTGTGACTCAGGAGCAAGCCCGCACGAGTGTCCCCATGTGAATTGACTTGCTTTTGGGGGCACTAGCAAGGGAGAAGGAGCCAGGAGTACCAGTGGGGGACCCAAGAAGAGGAGGATTGAGGCCGCTCTGTGCAATATGTGTATAGATTTGTTTGTTATTTTTTTTTTACATTTTCCTTTACAACCACTTTAAGTCATGAAGTCAGGCTCCTGGCAACAAAGTGACATTCGTTTTAGAGAGGTAGAAATTTTAATTTTAAATGTTTAAAATGGCTGACAAGTTCACTTTGCGAAATATAATACTTCTGTCCATGCAGGAAAATTTTCGTATCTGGTGTTACGATAAATTCACCTTATTACTGTGATATAAAATACTATGATGGCTCATTGCTGTGGTACGTTACGTACCATACCATATGACTTTTGGAACGGGGGCCCTTTAGCTCCTTACGGACGCTAAGCTGTCAGTCTTTCTGAACCCTGCATGTGTGGATATATTCAGATAAAACTACACATTGTTGTTAGGTCATTACCAGTCCTCATCAACAGTCAGTGTGAAAGTATGTAAGTATCAGGTACAGTTCTAGAACATAATATGCAGCATATTAAGCAATAAAACTAATAAAATCCAAAATACTGTGCAAAGTCATATGTCACCTAGTGGTGAACAAAGTGGATATAATGTGAATAAAATGTCCCAAATGAACACAGCCCACATGAGGATCTGATATGATCCTAATGATGTTGCGTGAAGAACTAATCCGGGGTGGCAGATGATAAATAAATAAATTGCGCACTCACCAGACGTGCGTAAATACACGCATATGAGATTAGCCTGTCTCATCAGGTATAACACAGGTCATCTGCTTCCAAATAGGGTCAGGATCTTATACACCTTCTGGTCACGTCTGGATAGGGTGCTCAGAAAACCTTGATGTGTAGTATCACCATCAGGGGTCTCTTTAAAGGCAGATTCTGAAAATGGAGGCTCTCAGTAAAGAGAGCCCAATAAGGGACACCACATAGTGTGATACCGTAGGAGACTTTATTACATCAAGACAGGTGCAAAACAAATCAAGATTAAAAGAAAAGAGACACTGACCATATAAAATTCAGGATGGCCACCAGCGGTGGCTAGATGTCCAGTAACTGTAGCCCCCCCTGACACGTTTCGTGCTAGGCACATCATCATAGGGTGCTGTGCTCCCCTATTATGTTCTAGCACTGCACCTGATACTTACATGCTTTTTTGGAAAGGTTTATTTTGGTTACCTTTTTGGTGTTCCAGCAGCTGTCCGTTTATTTCTAGGTAGCGCTCGCATACCATTATATGTTTCTCAGTGTGGAAGTATGTCCCATCCTGCTTTGGGTTTGTGCCTATAACATATTATTTCTTCTATTTATTTAGGAATATACATAAAACATTATTTAATTGATTTATTTACACTACATGGCATATTAATTATTTTATTTATTTAGAAATATGTACCAAATAAAACATTATTGATTTGGGTATGTATACCGCATGACATTTATTATTATTTTACATATATATATAAATATAGGAATATATATAAAGAATGAAATATATTAATTATGTTATTTCGTTATCAAAATAATTCACTTGTGAAAATATGTGTTTGCATATCTTGCCAGTAACATTTTTGTTTACAAAATCATCGCCCGTATATTTATGTGTATTTTTATTTTCCAATGATATTAATAAAAATATTTGAAAACACCTCTTAGCAAAGCAGTGCTGAATATGGCAGGCTGTTATAAATGTCCACTTGTAAGCCATTGAACATAGATCACCCAACTCTACCTGCATGCTTGATTGGGTCTGCCTCTTAATTGCCTATTGCAATGACGTAAATTGGTTACAGATTGTTTATGCTAATTCTGATGATAAGACTTGCCATTGAATTGAATAGATATTTAGTATGGAAAGTTAATTATAATCAATCAATATTAAATTGAACAGCTCCATTTGCTTGTACATGCAG